CTCTCACGAAGTGAGTGAGTGCGAGCCAGCCTGTCGTTACTCTCTGCTATGGTCGTGATCGGGTGGTGCTGGCTGTTAGTGAGGAGAGTGTACGTGTCGTCTGTTTGCGTGGGAGAGTAACTTCATCGTAGGGTGCTATGGGTCCTATTTTAGCGACGCAAATAGCGTTTTCAATCTACAAAATTCGATTGTTCTTTCGTGTGGTGCAAATTATTTCCTCAACTTGTTTCTAAATTTATTCCTATGAAAAGCAGCAAATTACTTCCTTAATCGTTTTTTTAGACTGGGATTTCGCAAGGTTGAGTACTCGCGCTTGAAGGAAGCCAAGGAAGCAAGCAAGCGCGAGAATTTTGGAACTGAAATGGCCCTTCAGCAAGGAAGGGCTTGTTGCTGAGGTGATAATAACGTGGTTTGTAAGTTTTGACGCTTTTACTCATTGCAGCGATGCTCATATTTGTATGATTGACCCGTTAATGCGAATGATCACCTTAAAAATCGCATTGATATAGAAATGAATCAGTAAATTAATGATATCAGTAGATTTTACACATAAATAAATTTAGTACATTTTTGAGAATGCTGTTTTTTCGGTGGACAGTTTAAATGATATTTGTGGCATTCATGGCAGTAAAATGCATGAAGATGTTGATAAGTAGTTTTTTGAAAATTTCGGATTACCATTTGTTTTGCCAAATTTTTGTCTCTTACTAAAAATATTTTGAATTAGGCCTGGGCACAAAATGTGGTTATTACGTGTTTGCGCCTGGGCGACACGGCAAGACCGAGTTTCACCTCAAAAAGGGTGCGTTCCCGTGCTGGATCCTCATGCATTCACCCATTGAGGATAGTACTTTCTGTGCATCAATGTCTAAAGGATGAGGTCTTTATAGTAAGTGAATTTGGAAATCAGTAGATTTTATTAATTTTTTTAAATTCATAGTGTAGTCTTACGTAAGTTGTAATATTTCATTGTTTCTAAAAAAAAGCTATCTCTGGGATAACGGTAAGCAGGTGATTAGACTTTGCATCTGTAGCGTAGTCTGTGTTTTACGTAAAGTTTGTTTATTCAGCTATAATTTAATGGTTTTGGGAATATATTGGGAATGAATAGAAAAAGGCGATGTGAAATCTTCATGAGAAATATTTGCATTTTAATAATTTTTTGGCAGCTGCTACAAAATAAAGGAAATAAATAGAAAAGGAAAACAGAACGAAAAAGGGGAGATTTGAGAAAAATGACAAGATGATAATTCAAAAAATAGAATGAAAACTTCAGGTTACGTGGAAGGAATTGAAGAGAATGTGACCGAAATAACGATGAGATATGGTGCTCTAGGAATTAAGCGAGCGCCGAGATATGTGGTGCTCGAAGAATTAAATGAGCGCCGAGATATGGTGCTCGAAGAATTGAGCGCTGAAATATGTGATGCTCGAAGAATTGAATGAGCACCCAGATATGGTGCTCGAAGAATCGACCGCTGAAATATGGTGCTCGAAGAATCGAGAGCGCCAAAATATGGTCATTGAGTTAAAAGTTAGGGGCGAAATATGGCATCCAGCGGGATGGCTTATCGTGGCGCCGTAGTACCAGTTTAATGTGTTTCCATGGTAGATTATTTTCCATAATTTCGTGACGCATATTAGATTCGAATACTTTGGTCCACTTTGATTTTTCGACTTTTAACTTATTATCATTGAATGACAAAAAATTTAAAGGTTTTCTGTACACGGAAGAAATTGTGGCTACGAAGGTCTCCAGCTTCGTGAGCACATATATTAGATGAATTTCGCTAACAAACTGATAACGAGAAGAAGCTAGAAAGTGAGATTTATTTAAATTCTATCATGTAATATTTGTTTTAAACATATTTTTGTGTTTATTCGTTGTTCGTTTGTATTGATTCATTATCTCATCCTTGGTTTGTTTGTATTGATTAATGCACGGTCTTGTTCCATTAAAATTAGTCCATGGAAATTTAGTAGCACCATAAAAAATCAAAAATATGTTTCAACTACTAATTAATTAGTTGGATTGTTAAAATGTTTTCGTTTTAGTTTCATTTTGTTAACATTCGGTTTTCTCATTTCTGGCTTAAAATGTATATATGTATATAGTATCTATTCACATTGTGTATAATCTAAAAATGAAAAATTAAATGTGTGCAAGTGTTGTATTTTATTGTTTCTTACTAAATGTCGAATAGTTTGTTCTTTATTGCAAACAATCGCGGTCTGCAATTATTTAACTTGCTCTAAAAGAAGGGAATAACAACTAAAGAAACGGTCAAAGATATCGTTTTGAAACCATTGGAACATAGAATTTTAACTTTTTAAAAGTCTCGCTAATAGTTGACGAATATTGCTGTCATACTAATGAAATTGGAGTTTTGAACACCTAAATTGCTTTCAGTATTGTTCAAATGCTTCAATTCTTCTGGGAGATCCAACATAATCTTGTGATATCTAAAGAATTAGGCGTCTCATATTTTTGTTAGTGTGTGACTGATTCAAGTATTCTGCTGGTATTATGAGAGAAATTATAGAAGTTGGCTAAATTTAAAGAGAAGAAGGAGATTGTGGAGTTAACGTCTGGATCAGAGCATGTGAAGATGGAAAGTGTGACCATGTATTTCTAGTATAGAATTATAGGAGATTTTCAAGGAGATGATTATTGCAGAGCGACCGGTGATACCAGCAATCTTACTGAAGTATCAAATACAAAATTACGGATATGTGTAATAAATTCTATATGTGGATATGCGTAAGAAATTATTAACATAGAGGTTGAAGTCTGTCTTGAAGCAGGTGTAAAAGATGGACGTCAGAAGACCGCTAAAACTGAAATTATATTGAGAAGGACCAGAGATTATAGGAGAGAGCTCCTGGAGCGAAATCTGGCTCTTACATTAGAATGTTCATTTCAAAGAAATTGATCATACAAATGGTAGTGATAAGAGATAACACCACATTTAGATAATGATAATTTCCCTAAACAAAATCACGACATGCAAAATCTACTCATTATTATTTTATTTCTTTTGATTGTCTTAACTTGTAATTACATATTTTTTGCATCCACAATTTTCATGAATATATTGACTTTGACTTTGTTAGTCAGAAGTCCCTTATTTTTCGTTGCTCTTTTTATATCAATTAGCTTTGTTTTTTAATAAGTCTGCTAATATTTTCTTTCATTGTATATAATAATAACACACTAATGTTATATAATAATATTTAAATATGCCGGAAAATTAGTTTTTACTCAAAATGGTCAGAAATCTTTAAAAGATTTTTGCATAATTATTGGTAGTATCATTTTATGCTGTTTTCGAACTCTTTTATTATATTACTGCTAAAAATCATATTCAGATACGAAAGCAGTTAAAATCCATCACAGTGCTTTTTGCAGAAAGTCATATGGAAATTGATAAAATAGCTGAATTATTCTGATTCGCAAAAGTTTAATTACTTTTTATCAGAAATTTTTTATTAATTTTATCTCAACAGTACTTCCATTATGCGATAACCTACGACGATTTCAAAGTTTTATTTAAATCCAAATACTTACGATTAACAAAAGTTTCAAACAAGCGTTTCAGGTTTGAATGTAACACAAATCAAACAAATGGTATGGCTTGTCTTACGAACGATGCTTTACAAAATGGAAAATGCAGTGAAAGATGTATAAAAATTCATTTTATTGCTATTATTACTTATAAAATTTTCAGTAAACTTACAAAACTTCCATTCAATTCTGTTTTATTTCATTTTTGCAATAATCTTTTAATATGATTTATTGATAATTTTAATCTCCCATACAATATTGGCAGTAATGAGTAGTATGCTAGTGGCTATTTTTGTTGTTGATTACAGTGTGAGTATTTTTTGTTGCAAATCAATTTCAAGTCAAATAATATCTTAAAAATTCACTGTTGACTAAAATATACAAATTGATAAATTAAATATGTTAATAAGTCTCAAAAATTTATATGGCTTGATAGAACACTTAGCATTATGTCTTTAAAAAATAATAATAATTATAATAATTATTATTATTAACTAAAGAAATGTTGAGTTAACTTTGATAACTGCAAGGATTCCGCACAAAAATATACTTTATCAAAAAAGTATCACTTAATAAAGTATCACTTAATAATCTCACTCAAAAAAGTGATCAAGCGAAATAATCGTGCCTATCAAAACAAATCAAATAATCGTACTAGCCAGAACGACAATCACTTAATCTCTAATAAATAATCTATGCTTAATTAAATGCAAGTGCAGATAATCTAATAGAAATGTTATTAGCAGTAACAGAAATTTATAAGACTAAGCATACTTTCATAACAAAAAAGATAATAGAAAAACATCCAAATATCTAGTGTAATATTCATAAAATATTTTAAACAGTGACAATGATGATGATGACAATAATAATAATAATAATAAAGATAACGATAATGCTATAAGTGATATATCAGAAAAGATGCGCAGAATATAGTCCGCCATTTATCGCTTGCTGTTCACAAGCGATAAAAACATCAACATTGCTATCCCAGTCAACGTTCTCGTTCTCATTCTACTTTGAAGAAGAGTCCGTTCATACATCTGTCATAGTGAAAATTTAACTTTTCAGAAGTTAATTAAGATTTTAATTTATTTGGAAAACAGATATCAGCTATGTTCATATCTTAGTTTTTTAATGCGTATTATGATTTGGATATTTTCGTCTACATAAAAATCAATCGTAATACCTCATGTTGTTTTTCCAAGCAAAGAAATAATTCGTTTATCTGTAATTCTAGAAGTAGACGAGAAGGAAGATGACAAACCTGTGCTCAGGACAGATGGGTAATAACTCAAGGAATCTAAAATTTTCACTCAATATTTGAATTTTTATTGTTCAAAAGTTTTTTCTACAATTAAAAACAACGAAATTTTTATTTATAAATAATGATTCCACGAATATATATCATACTGTAACGAACTTCAACAAACGTTATGCGAAGGAGATTAGTATATCTGATCTGACCACGTCGAGCCATACATCCAATTGATAGTTTTTAAGAAGATGCTCGAAAGCATCTCCTTCGACAGTCGATATGGATTCCACGAAGACGAAGCGTAAACGTTAAGTACAAGAAATCTGAGCGTGGGACAAGTACCGCCAGAGTGCAAGAATGCGATCCAGCGCCAGAAGCAATAAAGCGAAAATTAAAACTAACCTCCATATTTTATTTATTTACATATTATATTGTTCATTTTGTAATTCTTACCTATTTTTTATTATTTTCTAAAACAACCATCTAAGCAGAATGTGAGATCAGTAAATGTAAAGAATTGTAAATCAATCCTTGTCAATAGTTAAATCAACTTTATAGTTAAAAGGGATCGATTAAATCAATCAATTTTGGAAAATGCATAATAATAATATGATAAGATTATTAACAAAAAAACTCAAAAAGATAAAGTTGTAATATTTTTTTATTTCAATATTTAATACAGTTTTATACTAAATTACAATTCAAGCAATTATATTTACAAGAATTAATGAAGTTGTAATAATTCTTGTATTTGGATTCGTCATTTAGTGAAATACCACAATGTTCTGTTCATAGAAACTCACCAAAAATGATAAATATCAATAAATTCTGCGATAATCATGCATTTTTATCATCCAGAAACGTCAATTTTAAATGGTCGATGAAAAATAATTGTTTTATCAAAGCAAATACTGAATATTAGTAAAATTAATTAATATTTTATCCTTTCGCATTTTATAATTCAAAAGTTGCAATCAACTGCGCACAGTTTTGGATAAAACTTTTATGCATTACGTTTTAATGAATCTTTTCATGTTGTATAACTTAATCTTTTACAATCGAATGATTCGATAATATTATGAGATCAGAATATTTTTGTGCATTGATATCAACAAAACTATAAGACATTTGCTTGCTGAAAACAATTCGAAGAAAAAATTTAAAATTCAAAATTTAATTAGTTAAATTGCTTAAATAAAAAATCCGCATTTTAACAAAAATCTTTTCAAATTTATATATTATTTGGCAGTGTAATAGATCATTGCAAATGCAGACAAAATGGAAAAGGAAATTGCATAATTAGACCAAAAAAAATTGGATTAGTAGCACAACGAGATAGTGCAAAAAAATGTTCATAGGCAGAAAATTGCTTTCAGTTAGTTTTGTGATGGTTATGGTGGTGTTGATGTGAGTTAATTATTTGTATTTGTTTTAAGTTATCATGTATGTTATGTGATTGGAAGACTCTATGAAGAGTTCTTGAAGTGCAAAAAGATGCATGAAAATCGTGCACAAGGAATATTCTTGTCATACTGCCATTTCATGATATAGGGAAAATATATTTAGTAATTCTGATTCTAAGATAAAATGAATTCAGAATACATCTATCATTATAAAATTGGCTATTGTTAAGACGGTATTTTTGATTAACTCTTAAAATTTTGTCAAGTGTTACAGGGTATTTGATAAAGTTGCAGTTTACAAAGGTAGGGGAAAATGAAACGGTCTAGTGGTGATCGCTTTGGTAGTGGTAGTAAACGAACACGAATGGACAGCTATGAAGAGGCATTGGCTAATGGTAAATACGAACTGAGGTTGGTAGTGACGAGCCGAGGAGCTGGTGGTATTATTGGACGAGGAGGCGAAAATATCAAACGCCTCCGCTCTGAGGTACTTTTATTAAAGCTACTCATTATCGTGGATATTTTACTTATGATTCAGCATTTATGAATCTTACTTTCTAATTATGTAAGCGCTGCATGCGCAACATAGAAATTGAAATAATGGTTTTATTATAATTGATTTTTACATAACGTGCATATTCACCAGGACAGTTTACTCGTCAGTAGTCTGGAAGACATCGGTTTGATGCGGCAACGATGTATTCTTCGTTTTCTTTCAGAAGAGGCTTTACTTCGATTTTTGCTCTCGTTTAATTATCATTCTTCATTATTCTCAATTGTTACTGTCTTGTTTTGTTTATCATATTATGACTTTCGCTTAATTGCCTTTTAAAAGGGACTTTTTCAACCCAGATTTCAACTGGAGCTTCTCAAAGAAATGATTTCCTTTTCCTGATAATGTCTTCGATTCCAAGAACAGCGAACAATTTTGAGACCTTTTTTGCTTGCATCGGCGTTAGCCTTTTGTTATTAGGCGGAATAGCGAGCAACTTGAATAACGAAATTGTGAAAATAGTCCAAATTATTGCTCATTTGCAGTTCGATGCGAACCTGACCGTCCCAGATAGCCAGACGCCCGAACGGTAATTTATCTCGGAAGTACTCGTTGCCCTCACTACTGATTACTCGTTGGGCCACAACCGTTCTTGCCATCGGGCTTCCATACGATGGATTACCGCACCAAACCTACAGCTCTTACAGGCTGACCTTGAATTACCTTCCACATTTCTTTCACAAACCTATGAATAAAAATAGATGACATGCCTGCCTGTCTTGTATTTTCCACCTGCTTAGTAATATGATCTAAGATGGCTGACTTTTTGATAGCACACTTTTATGCCAATTTTTTGACCCATAATCCTTCAGTTAAGTGACAAAGAACGAAAAAGGACTGTTTTCTGCAATGTTAAAAGCAATCCCACAAACAAAATGTTACTAGCAAACCTCCGAAAATGAAGTCCTTAATTTTATTATTTATGTTCAACAAATAACGAAGGTTCTTACTGTATATATAACCCGAGTTTTGTGCCTGTAACGAAGCAGCAAACAAAGAAGAATATATTTTTTTTATCCAGGATTTTTTCGCAAAGTTTCTTTGAAACTGTTGGTATAAAGCACGTGGTTTTTAATTTCGAAGTCTCCAAAATGGCTAAGCTAATGTTTTTGCTCAAAAATTTGTCCAAGATTAGCACTAATGTTTTATTGATTGACTTGAAATTTTAGTACCAGAGCTGGCCCTCTACTGTAAGCTCCGTGCATCTTGCATTCTTTATATTTGCAAATAAGTGTTGCATGATCTTGTAAAATTGATGTGAAGTGGGCAGAATATTTGCTAAAAATATGTCTTTATTAGAACTCTATCTGCATGGTATTTAGGGTGTTGACACTCACTGCTACAACGGAGAACATCGCTAACTGTTTGCGTGAAATTATACCCCGTCTCGATGAAGTGAGTATTTATGATTACAGAAATTAGATTCTGAAATATTCATGTCTGCAAAAATTAGATTCTGAAGATTCATTATGAAAGATGAGTTATTTATTTTTCAAAAACTCCAGAAGTCCTTAATTTTTTGCAAGTTAAGTGAATATATTATGATGTCTTATTTGAAGAAAATGATTCATGTGGAAATTTAAGTTTCAGAATCGACAAGATGAGCGTGATCGACGAGGGAAAAAGAGGAATGGTGAAAGTGAAATTAAGGTTCTAGTGCATGAATCACATGCAGGTGCCGTCATAGGTCGTAGTGGATCAAGAATAAAGGAACTTCGCGAAAAGACTGGAGCACAACTAAAAGTATCATTTTTCCTTTGATAAAATTTTACTGGAAGGAAATTGACAATTCTCAAGATAATGATAAACTATGAGTAATTTCTCCAACATGTATTTTTCTTTTTCACTTCTACCCAGGTGAATCATTGATTTCTTATGTAGCTTGTTATATTTCGGAATATCGTATTCTAAAGCGTAGTTTCGTTTCGATATGAATTTCACATGTACTGCAAAGACTATAGAATTTAAAATACCTTTTTTGATGAAAAGGACAGAAAAAATACAAAGAGATTAGTTTTTTCCTTTTTTTAGACCTCAATGTATTTTTTAGTACTTAAGGTTTTCTCACGTTGTGCACCGCAATCTACAGAAAGGATCGTACTGTTGAACGGCGAAGTACAAAAAGTTATCGACTGCATTAACATTATTATCGATGTTTTGAAGGAGGTACTACATTTTAACTTATGGCTAATGTTTACCTTTCAGTGTTACTGCATTTCAGGGCAAATAAAATTGCTTGTTTGCTACAAAGGAGAGAAATTCTGTTGTATGAGGTTTTAGGTGAATTTTTAGATTCCGATAAAAGGTCCTGTCAGGCCTTACGATCCAATGTATTATGATCCAGATATCGTTAACGATTATGGTGGGTACGTCCCTGATCGTAATTTCATCTCACGTGTTGGTCGAGGAAGAGATTATGGATATAGTGGTGGGGGCATGATATCTCCACGATATCAAACAAGAGATGATCGGTATAGTGGAGTGAGAGATATAATAGATCGCTATTCACCTCTTCCATCTGTGCAAACTACGCAGGTAAGAGTAGCTGACATTATAGCAAGCAGTAACATTAAGTCCTTAAGGATCGCAAGAATGCTATTATTTTCAGTAAGATGAAATAAGTTAAAAATTCTTTGCTCGTATGGCCTATTGCCGGCAGTAATAATATTTGCTTAATAGGATTTAATACTTCATAAAATGATCATATATATATAATTTTGAAAAAAATCTACAAGCATTTGGAAGTCTGAACGTATTTTGAAAAGAAAAGCATATAGACGTTTATTATTGCTAGGTAACTATTCCTGATGAACTTGGTGGTGCTATAATTGGTAAAGGTGGGTCGCGTATCAACCGAGTTCGTGATGAGTCAGGAGCTCAAATTGAAGTTGAACCCCATCGTGATAATGGTGGTGATCGTATAATAACAATTACTGGAACACGAGAACAAATTGAATCAGCACAATATCTGTTGCAGCAGTGGTGGGCATTTTTTAAATAATAAAAGCTGTCTATGCCGGTTTACTGTAAAGGGAAAGTTCTGATTTTCCATTTGATGAGATACATATTTAATACTTCATAATGATTTCAGTGTACGCACATCGGAAGCTGGAAGACGTTATCTCAGTGAGCATTAGACAAGTCTGACCGGTTTCAGACTCTTCAACCGCTTTTGATGATTTTTTTTTCCATAATTTTGATATTTTCTAACAATTTGTAATAGGCTATCAAACTGTTGTTCTGCCTTTATTAAAATGTACGTTTATCGTCTGTATGATATGTGTGATCTCCTTGTATCAACATGCATTCAAAGAAATTTACTGATTTTCTTTACTGTCCAGGTGTGATTGCACTTTAGAAATACATCTTAAAGAAGTCAAATCAGCGAAACTGTTTTCATGAAATGCTAATTTCTGGAAGTTGTGGTACCTCAGTAATTTAGTAGATTTTTGGTGGTTTCCGTTCTTTTGTCAAGTACTAAAATGCAATAAAAAGTCGATATTGAGCTTTTTATCTAATTGCCCCAAGTATGACGTATTTCCATCGTTTGGATTTAGGTCGCAAATAAGTAGCAGAGTCTGCTGATTTTCGTTATTATTTGATAAGACTCGGTTTACCAATTCATCTGGGTTCTTACCATTTGGTGGTATTTCAGATCGAAACTTGCATGAAGGGGTCAGGAAGCGAGCTTACGAAGAGTTGCTCTTCCACTGTTGATCCGATCTTCCAGCCACAGATATGGTGCGGACAGCATCTTTCAGGTTCCTGATGTTTAGTTTTCGACAGATGTAGCAAGCTGTCTTATTCTAAAATTGAAATTAAAAGAATTGTATGAATTATAGGAAGGAAATTTGGGATGGATCTTCTATATTTCAGACACAAATTTGATCAACAGGATATAATTCTTGTCTTGGTATTTTTACAAGTTATATCAAAAAAATATGTACAGGCAAATGGTTTGAAAATTCGTCTCAATTTATTGCTTACGAATGCATAATCAGTGATCTTTAGGGCAGGAAACACCTCCTACAAAATATGTATATAATTATTCACAACTTGATGAATATCATCAAAGGACACCAATGTGTCGGATTGCTGAACTTGCACGATATAATAAAGTAAACTCTTGAAGTTCAATAACAACTTAATCAGATAGTGCTGAGAAATTAAATTGCCTGATTTGAATTTTCATGAACTCTTTCTTCGATTTCGTGTGTTTTGTACCATGTAAGATTCATTCTTTAATATAGAATTTTTATGTCATGTATTAATGGATTACTTAGATCAAACATGAGTACAAACTTATGGATGAGAGTGGACCTGCTCATAGAAAACAATTTACTGTTTCACTTGTTCTTACTCCTGATCAGGTAATTGGTTTTTATATAGTTTGGTTTTATTGTTTAAAAAGATTCCGATATTTCAGTGCTTTTGAATATTTATTCTTCTGAAAAATATTGTAGATATTTTATGGAAAAGGAGCATCTATAAAAAAAGCTCAACAGTCAGCTGCTGAAAGTGCCTTGAATGAAACGAATTTGCCAAAGCCACCAGATAAAGTTTTACAGAAAAAAGTGAAAAATGGTAAAATTAAATTAATAAAAGGAATTGTTAGAAAGTATTTATAACCCATAACCTATTCTTTTTACCAGTAAGAAAAGATTTTATATGCAGATTATTGCCTTATTAAATTTCATTGTCAGAAAATAACTATTAAAAAGTTTTGTTTCAGACTTTCAAAATCCTGTAGGATTACTCAGATACGTGATGGAACGTCTTGGTATTGAAATAAAATTTGTTGACGAAGTTATACCGATGTGTTCAGTACCACCACATTCAGTTGTTCCCTTACCAATGCGGTTGCTTGCTTACTTGTGGAAAATTTCTAATTCTTGAAGCTTAGTTACATGCCAAAAATCCAAGAACATCTTTTTTAAATGGAAGCTAAAAGTTGTTTCAAATTAATTACTGAAGTTAATTTGTTTGATAATTACAGAACGCTCTTAAGAAGTCCTTTCATGCCAATGCTGCACGATCAGTTCTTGGTTCCTCCTCTTCGTAGAGTACCGTTTAACCGTCCTTGTAATCCTGGAACTCTTTGTCAGTTACCATCAAATATTATACCATCGCCTAATGCAGTGATACCTCCTCAAAGACCATTTCTTCATAATTTTCCCAACCAGTCACAGCCTATTCATAAAGTATTTGTTCCATTTTCCTCAGATTTCTACATGACTGCATTTGCTGTTAGTTTTAATTAAAGATTTATCTAGTTAAACTTTGCTCAGTAATGTACTTGGTCACAAGTTATTCCTTATTTCTCAGCAGTAGATGATTGAAGAGTTATTTACTTTTGTATTCCTATCATTGTTATTTAGTTCTACTCATTTTTACTTTTTCCTTACATGAGCATAATTGTGTTTTATTTTTTAGGTTCGTTTAATACTAAATAAAGGGTTTCCGGAATTCATCGGGAAAGGAATAACAAAGAAGCGAGCTAGAAACAATGCTGCCACTCAGGTAAAAATAGAAATTTTGATTTCAGCCCTCTACCGAAGCTATCATGCATGTGATAATGTACCATTTTCTTAAACAGCAGAACTGTTCCTTATTTTTGATATCTTAATTTGAGCTGGAAAAAAGTGTAAAACATCCTGTTTTATAGGTGTCTTAGTTTTTAGGCTCTTTCTTATGTCGGTCCCTATCTAGCAGCATTGGAAACACAAGCAAGCAACAAAATAAATGGTAATTTTAAATCAGTTTCATAATTTGAGCTACATATCAGTGTTCTAACTTTCAAAATTTTGGTTTAAACCCAAATGAAATTTGCATATAATGGATTTTCTACTTTTCCATGTAATGCCATATTCAGTCAAATTTCAAGAATTTTCAGCCTTAGATGAGATATCTTGTTACTGGATTCCTGATTTTTTTAAAGAATACACTAGCCACTTCAGATCTCCAATTTTAATTGATATTTTGTGTCTTCATTAGGAATCTTTATGTCTAGCTCAGATTTACTTGTTATCAAATTTTCGGGTTTGAATAATATTACCTTTCCATCAACCATCAACACCTCTAAAAAAAATGCTTACAAATTAACTGGAGGTTAATGCTATTCAGATGTATAATATTCACCACACTGCAAATTAAAATCAGGTTTGTCAGCAGCTAAGATCGAAAACTTTGAAAAAGATAACGTGAAATCGGTTGTCACAATTGCACGCAATGGAAAACCAAAGTCATCAATTTCTCAAATTCATGAATGTGCTTTGCACATGCGCATGAATGTCGAATTTTTGGTAAAATTTTTCAGCTTTTTGCTAATATTAGTTTCGCAACGAAATATCTTTGAAATAAACCATCAAATTTGCTCAACTGTATGTCATATCATATTTTCATTTAATTTTTTGTCAAAATGTGTGCGTTTGAAAATAATATTTTTTCCTGAATTCTTTAAAACTGGTCAACATTTTCAAGTAACTAGTCTCCAGGTTTTAAAAGAAGAAGGACCGGCTCATGATAAACGATACTTATTACGTTGTAAACTAATCTCATCTGAGCGGGTCATATCTGCAGATGGTGAGGGAAGTAGTAAAAAAATTGCAAAACAAAACGCCTGCTCATTAATGATAGACAAATTGCAATCCGTTGGTGAGTTGTATTTTGACTAAAAATTTTTTTGATTTTTTTTTCATTCTTTACAGAAGAATGGAAATTTTTTTTAGAATCATCTCCGATTTTTATCGCTACCACGATGTTGAAAACGCAAAAGAAAAATGGTTCATCGAAAGAAATGAAACGCAAAACAATTATTAAGGTACTAATTAAATGAAGTGAGAAGAAATTTTTCACTTTCGTACTTTTGGATTGTATTGTTTGTAAATGAGCATGGATTACATTCGCGTGAGTCCCAAAAATTCAAGAGTGCGCAGGTTTTTATAAGATTCTTTCCTCTTTAACTTATTCGTTGTAACTGACTGATTTTATGATTTTAATAATTATTATTTAAATGGTAGTGTTGAACATTCCACCTTGATCAATGATATTTGCTAGTATTTCTTTTAATAATGTAAACTGATTATAATATTCTTATATTTTGCAGTAAATTACTTTAGGACATGAAAATGAATCCAGAATATGGTCATCAGATCAATCCCATTAGTCGTTTAATGCAAGTTATGCAAGCGCGAAAGCAAAATGAACCGAAATTTCAATTAATTTCGGAACGTGGGCAAAGTCGATACAAGGAATTTGTGATGGAGGTAATTTTTTTTTACTCGTTTTCATTCACCAGAGTTTTTTCATCAATGATTTTTGCGTACGGCTCAGGTTATCTGTGATGGAGATCTTCGATGTGAAGGTGTTGGACCAAATAAAAAACTTGCGAAACGCGCTGCTGCTGAAGCAGTGTTAGAAAAAATCGGATATGTAAAACCAATGCCGAAACCTGGAAAAAGTCTTCTGAAAAAAAGGCATGAAAAATGCGCACAAAATCCTGAAATCGGTAGGTTTCCATTATACTGTGAAATTTTATAAAATAATCTCTATTAATTATGGGTTTAAAGTTTTTTATTTTCAAGCTTGTGTTATTTTTTTATTGCATTCATAATTATGGACATTTCAAATTATTACGACTGATAAATATCAAGGTGTTTTTCAACCGGATGATAAAAGCAAATCCGTGTTAGAAGCAGATAAGGAAGAAGACAAAGAACAAAGTGATCCAAAAGTCTCGGAAATTACTCTATCTGTTACGGCATCGATGGGTTCGCAAGTTATGGCGTTTGCTGGTGTTGATAAAATGGTGCATGCTGGAGAACAGAAAGATATTTGCAGTACTAGTTTTTCAAAGTCGACTAAGTAATTTTTTAAAGATTAATGGTTGGCACTCACAGATTTCAGATGTGATGCAATGTGTAATTGCTTTTAACGTTCCGAGAAAACAGCTGTGGAATAAATAATTTAGGATTTTATCGAAGTGAAATTAAGAATCTGAATCACAGTTGTCATTATTTCCACATGCTTAAGATGTATTTATACTATTTATTTTGAAGTAACTTTTCTGTTGCAGTTTTATAACCTGCTGCATCCAAATAATATATGTTCGAGCCGTTTATTTCTGAAAAATCATAAAATTAGATGTAGTGAATTTGATTTTTATACTGTTAGCAATTAATAAATATTTTAGCACTGATGAAGAAGGGTGTTGCAATAAAATGAAGCTAGCTGCTCAACCTAAACGTCGTGTTACATTTAGTAACGAAGTCAGTTCATGTCCACCACCTGGTTAGTTTATGTTTATAATTAGCATTTTTCTGCTTCACATATGATAGTAAAGTTTATGGTTCATTAAACGTTAGATACGTTTGTAATTGATGAGGTTTCGTAGCTCTTCAATCTTTATCAATCTTTCAAACTTTTTTGATCGTTTCAAATGCTATTTTTATATTGTCGATTTTCATAGTGAGAAGCCTTCTCATTCTGTTCTTCTATGTAATGTACCGTTTTCAGATGACAGTAGCTATCCATCTGCTTCAATAACACCGTTGAAATCAGAAGTTGTTGTTGTTAATAAACTTCGTAGAAGTTTGTTTTGTTAATTTTTTCATGACTTGCATTTGTATCCTTATTTCAAAAAATTTTTGTCGTCTTTATATTAATTAATTGCCACAATTATTGTTTCACCTATTTTGTTTCAGAAGGCCGGGACTCGAAAAAGTGGCTTTCTGAAGTTGAGAAAAAAGAAATTGCTGAAAAGTCTCTGGATTTTTTCAAAATACATGAAATCAATATTCATTCTTATGATATCATGAGAGGAGGTATGTGTCATTTTAGATTTTAACAATGAATATGCTGTCTTTGATGAAAAATTGCTAGATTGCCATACTTACAAATGTTTTTGTTGATTTTAGTTTTAATTGTAAAGAATTGCGTATGGCTTTTTAGGTACATTTGTTCGCTTATTCTCAAGTCTTTTGTAGAACCAGAAATATTTTTTATAGGCCTTTTTACAGATTATTTTGATCAAGATTTTCATAGTTGAATGATAAACTTCTTGAACTCATAGTTTAAAAAAATTTGTAGGTAGTGATGGGTTAATGCTAATAGATGATCAGATGGAACAATTGTCTTTAAGTCAAAATACATCGACTAAATATTCGACTGCGAAATGTTATCTGGAAGCAATCGCTGAACGTTACAAATTTACCGTCAGCTATACTGATTTTCCGACGGTATCGGCTGCTAATAAAAATATCCAATATTGTTTTTATCCGTTTAAAAAAACTGTAAAATTATCTGTGCAATAGCAGCTTTGTAGATCTCACAAGATTATTTCGTAAAATGTAAGCCAAAAAGAGATTTAAGAAGTTACTTCCTATTTTTGATTTCAATATTAAAGTGTTATGTAATTTAGACTTCAAATGGAATGGAAAGTCAATGCTTTTCTCTCATTTCAGTTGGCATTGATCAGCCCATTGTAAGTTTTAGTTCAAATAAGTTTTTGTAAGAAAAAGTCAGGAGGAGGTTGTCAGACTTAAGTGTAAATGAAAGTTGCTTTTTAAATGTCAGTCTTTATTGTAAATGGAAGCTATCTTTTGAATAATTTTGAAAGCTTTCATATTCTTATCCGTGATTATTTACTGACATTGCTTCGAGGTTTGTCATGGAAGTGGAAACACTGAACAAATTGCTCACGAAGATGCTGCTCGTAACGTTTTACTTCTTCTTTGCAAAATTTGAATGCTACTTGGGGTAATAAATCTACATATATGGGAGTTAAATTCCAGCTTCAAGGTTAGTCATGCTCACAGCTTTTAATGTTGTATGTTCTGCATTTCAGGATGCAATCTTTAGAAAATATTAATTTATTAATAGTCCATGAAAGAAAAGCTTTGTATTTACTTCTGAGATATTATTAACGAATATGTTACGTTTTACAAGTTCATCTCTTGTTACATTTTTCTGCATTATAATACCATGCATTGATCGAAAGTGCAGAATCTTTCCTGGATTTTGCTTTTACGCAAATAATTGTTTCACAAGTGTACAAGAAAGCTTATTTATGAGTGCATATATTTGCTCAAATGATTCTGCTTTATCTTAAAAGATGCACAAAAATGCGCGTTTTATGTTTATCAGCAGTGGAATTTTTATTTAACTGTTGACAATCACGTAATTTTCATTGATATACCGTTATGTATCCAAAGGCTTTCATAGTTTTTGTTTTTGGTGTCAGCATCTTATTATATAGCTGAATTTTGTTTTTTGTTTCCTATATTTTGACTCTAAATATTCTTTGTTTTTTGAGAAACATAGAGCTTATAGATGGTAGATCTGGCTTTTTACTGGGAGTATATTTCGTTGGAAACAATTAGTGAAACATAGCATTTAACAGAAAGGATTAAGGGTTTATTCAAGGATGAATGTTTGCCTCAAACTAATTACACTACTCTTATTACTTAAACTTTATGTCATTTTACAAAAATTCATTAGTATATCATAATTGTATTACATTGATTTACCATTGAGATTAGATTAGTTTGTGATTGATAAAGGGATGTTATGTAAAATCTTTTTATATATTTGTTTTGAATCTTCCCATTACGACAGCTCAAAAATCATATAGTCACAAATATTTAAGCATTATTTTTTACTCTTTGTCCCGTTTAGGAAGTTGTAAACGTTCTGGTAATAAGTGAATGAAACTTTTCCCACCAGTCGTTATCTTTTCAAGTCTGTCTCATTTCGATACTAGCTTGCATCTGCTACAAATACAAATTTTGACTCTTGTTTGGAAATTATCATCATCCGAATGTGTACAATCTACTCCATGCTTCTATATTTCCGTTAATGTACTTGACAGCTGCATGTTAAAGGGTCACTATATCAAAGTTCTCTTTTCGATGTTCTATAACTTTACAAGCGATAACTTTTTGCTCATGAAAATTTACTTAACTCTGACTTTGTTTTATATTTGGTATTTCTCTTGATCAGAAAGCATTGATGTTAAGGTGTTTCATAATACTTCTGATCCATGCTTTTTCATCATTTCGATCCTATAGTGGTCGATATTGTACTGAATTTTCATCTGGTCATACTTGTAGAATCTCATAATGCTTTTTCATTTTTCCCACTTTTAAACGTGAATAAGTTAACTCAGTACTGTCTTGCCTTCCATCTTTTTCTTCCTTGTAGCTGTATATCAGCTAATGGATATTTCACTTGCTCTTCATTTTTCACTGCTGAAAATATCGAAGTTAGATTTTACATTGCTTTCACCTGCAGTAAAAATTAATTTTAATGAAGAAATATGTCTAGTTAAACACGGTTGAAGATGTACTCGTATTAAATGCCCCTCATTGAATGAATTTTTATAGTTCACCATATCGAACTTTTATACGCCTTTGAAAGTCTGTTGTAAAATTTGTGTTATACTAGTTTCAGAGCACTAGAGACTGACTGATTAATCAGTCACTGAATACTTCATTTTTGATGGATATTTCTAGTCATTTATATCAAAATCGTCGAAATTCACAAGACTTTTTCATAATGTTACGTTGAAAAATCTTGATTTTCGATTTCAAAGTAATTAAAAATATTGTAATGTCATTCCTGTTCACTCTCATTTCCATAATATATTTTCTTTGAAGTTAGAATTAAGTTTAAAAAGTCGAATTCGATTCTGCCGTTTGTAATTGATTTTATTTCTAATAAAAATAATTTATTCTTGAAAGAATTCTGATGGATAAACAAATTAGTATTTAAATCTTATTTATTCTCGGATACTTATATTGTTGCATTTAGTGTATTGATTGATTGTAATGCTTACTTCACGTACTTGAGAAATATCCATATTTTATATTTTTTAGTCATGATAACTTAATATATACAAAAGTTTTATTGATTTTTGCCCCTCTATTCAGATAATGTCGAGTAATAATAATCTAATCTAATCCTTTTATGTCGCTCATATTTCTGTGATTGGAAGATGGTTTTTGTTTCTTTATTCTGTGAATAAATTTCAGCAACTTTGAATTGTGATAAACTTACGTGGAGATCTGCTTTAAAAAGTTTTCTTTACTTTGAGATCAGACTTTTTGAAATTATTTATATTCCACACTTATCATCGCATTGCTTTCTTATTGAACAATATGTATGAATAAAATTTATTTTGCATACATGACTCATGCCATGCCCTTTAGCATTAGCAGTAGATTGAAGAAGATGATATAAAATTTGATCGCAATTCATTTTATGTCTACAAATTTTTGTAAAGAGCAGAATTGATACCCAACAAAAAGTAAACAAAAAATATCATGCTTGTTGATGTAAAGTGACATCTAAACTGTTAGACTTAACGCAAAAATCAACTTCGTGCTTTTCTTGCTTAGTAGCAATTTCACTTTTGCATCTGAATATCACCTTTACCGACTTGAATGCATCGTGCCCATCGCGTTTCATTCTTGACTTGCGAAGAAGGTGCGAATAGTACAATACCAAATTCGCTAAGTTCATCAAACCGAGATTCATCATCAAAATCAGTCTGCAGTTAAATCGCATATAACATTAATATGTGAAATTACCAAAATGACATAATGGAGTGAAGTGACCTATTGATTAAATTAGTGAATTTCAGAATCGTTGATAATAAGTTGCAGGAAAGATTTAGAACAGAGATTTTATTTCATAAAAGTTCTTTCGTGAATACAGAACAGCAGTACTTGCAGATGTATTTGATACGAATGTCTTATGGAATGTGTTGAATTACAGAATATTTTTTTATTTGCCCAAATTTCTGTGTTTGAAATGACTATTATTTTTTCCATATTTTTTACAAATAAAGCTATTACGAATATCAATATGTTACCTGGATACCAACGTCACACATGAGAGTTTGCCGATCATATTTGGATGTATTCGATGTTTGTTTCAATTCCTGGTATTCAAAAATTATTAAATTTAGAACTTGGAATTTTAAATAAATTACTTTGTGTATTGAATGGTTTAAAGTTTAAATATGAATGGAGATAATGCCCAAAAAAAAGTGAAGTATACGTTGGTGGGTAAATTGTCTAGTCCTGAAGTTTTCTTTGAGTCTGTAGAGGATTCTTTTCCAGATTCTTGACTTAATGAGTCAGATTCGCTGATTTCGTGTAAATTTTTTGGTGAGATACTTTCTAAACCTTGTTTACCATCACTTGGCTGAGTGCTATCAGTTTCTGAATGCTTTTTTTTTATTTCCTCAGAATATGTATCTTCTGGTGTTGAAACTACTTGTAGAGCTTCTTCAACTTGTTTCGGAGATTCTTGCTTGGTATCTTGACATAATGCCATTTTTGACATAGGTTGTTCTTCAGCCTTCTCTAATTTTGTTTTTATTGAATCTACTGATATTTTTTCATCATTATTCAGTTTAGACGCTGAAAGTTGTTCCGATTTTTCACTTGAGCTTGATTTTTGTGTCGATTGTATTTGCTGCTCTTTTTCTGGTACTGCTATCAAATATTGTTGTTTATTATCTTCCAATTCAGACTTTAATTTTTCATTTATTGTGGCTTTTATGGAAAAGTGAAGATCATTTTTATAACGTGCTATACCAAACGTGACATTCTTCCAAAGCATGAAATCATCACAACGTTGAATTGCGTGACATAGATCTCTTCGAATCTACATAATTATTCATATTTTAAGAAATACAATCTTCTTAACTCATTTTTCATATTACATTATATTTTGAAATCGTGATTCTAATCTCATTGACCCTTACAAAATAACTGTTGAATATTTTTCCAACTATGAGTATTATTTGTTGCATGTATAATTGATCAGAAAAAACAAAATCCTCCAAAAATCTCTATTTATCTAATAGCGTAGATTATTTTCTGTTTATGTATTTAGATGAACTCTAAAAAAAACACATCAGTTTCTTAAAGAACCTCTTCCAAATTATCCCAGTTACAGCGTATATTAATCGTATGCATCCTTCATACAAATAACGAATATTTCTTTTTTACGGGCTGCTTACGCAAATGATATCGACCGCTTAGAAAAAGCAGTAATTGATAGAAGAGTTTGGAGCTTAGAATTAGCAGAGCAAATATGTTTGACAAATGGATTATGGATTAATTTAACTGAACTTAAATAATATCAAACAAATATATATGTCTATTTTAAATCAAATATGAGTAATTTTGCATAAAGCTATAATTTTCATTATTAATACGATGCTGTACAGTTTTTATTACTAATTTCTGCATATTTGTTTTTTATATTTAAATTAAATGTTTCAGTGTATTTAATTATTTTCGAAAGAAAGTAGTCAAAAATAAGACTTTGCGTTCATTTACGAAAGTCTTAATCACAAAATCGTTATCAGTATCAGAAAGCAATGTAATTAGTCGCAACAGATAAAACAATATTGAACATTTTTACCTCACATTGTTTTTGGACACCATATGATACAAAAATTATTATTTAGAATAAAATAGACAAAGGAAACAAAAATTATTTCAACCAAAGATATTTGTAAGTTGTACTAGTTTCAACTTTGACTTGTACTGACTAAATATATCCAAATAACTTTTTTATTTTCTATTCCGTTAAAAGTAACATCAATATTCATCATAATAATCGCAATGACTATAAAATTATGAACAATAATAATACTTGCCAGTAGTATTTTTAGATGAAATCTTTTGAAACTTTGAAAATTGCAAATAATATCTTTGGCGCCTGATATTCTATTAGTTATTATCGTATATCTTTTTTTCGTTTCAATATTTTCAATTCAACTACTGATCTGTTCACCTGCTTGCTCTGATTTGATTCTGAATCAATTCTGAAAATATGATTCAGGTATGAAAACAACACTTTTTTTTCAGATGATCCTATTACTCAACCATTGATAAATTTCAAATTTCCTTTGATAGACTTGGAATGCTGTTTGAAATTTGAATGCATAAAAAAAAATTTGAATCTTAGCTTGATATCTTCCTTCTCCTTATGTATTTTTAACATTGTTGGACAAGAATTTAAGAAGCAAAGTAAGTATTTATTTTTCGGTAATATCGAAAAGAGTGCTTCAAAAAGTGTTTAATAAATAAGAAACTAAAAACAAATAGAAGCAAATAACTGATAAATCATCTCAGCAATCAATCTAAGATCAAACTTAATTGGTTCTTTTACAGTTTTATGTCTGTGCAAATATTTACAGTCTAACTTCACTTCAATCTTCTGCAAGTCTCATTTTTGTAAGCTTTCTAGTAACTGCGAGCACTATTCAAACTTCTGTTTTCAGTTATGCTCAGCTTATTTACTTGCTATCTTTTCAGAATAGATGGTAATAAGAACTATATTGCAATGTACTGCGCAAAAATTCACATGTAGTGAATGTGAGCAAATTAAGTACGGCACGCATAGGTAGTAAAATCAGCAATCACACATATAGCATGTACATATTGTAAATGTATGACATACGCACATATAAATAAATACACAACGTAAAGGGTACACGCACACTTACAAACGCATGCATACTAAAAGTGAACACTCGTACAGGAAGCCCAGCAAAATATATAACTTAATGCATATATGTGCAACATCCGTCTACTATCTGAATCTAGTTTACGTTCTACTTTGAATTTTCTTGGCTAGTTCGGGAGAAATTCAATGAGGCATTCAAATTTTAAATTTAAGATAATTTTACGCTTTTCTTTACATTGTTAAATGAACTCAACACAATAATGACAAGTTTCTTCCTCGTATAAAAATAGATTACTCCAACTTCATTATATCAATAAAAATTATTATAAAAAATTATTCAATATAAAATGCGTATTTGATTTTCATGTAAGAACACTTGTATTATTATATAATAATTTATTTTGATGATACAGTTTTAGTATTGTGCTAATTATTTTTATGCATTATTAATTAAACTTTTGCTGATTTTTGATACATTTGAAAATTTCTAAAATACTGATCTAAAATAAGTTTCTGATTCTGTTGCTTCAAAACTAATCACTTGTAACCTTTGTTCTCTACTTTCTAACTAATTTATCTCTTCGATCTGCATGCCGTATTGTTTGAAATTTCATTCTGTAACTATCTCTCTCAAACGCATCTATCTACAAGCGATACAACATTTCTCGTAGTAATGAGATAAGTAAAAAGAATACGTAAAATATTACTCGAAGAATGCATAACCAAATGAATAGATGACTAAATTATCGGAAGAATTAAGTATTCAGGAATGAATGAATGAATGAATGAATGAATAATGAATGAATATTTCGGTGACTCTCATATTTATTTTTCGTTAAAGCTCGTCCCTCTCTCTTCCCATTTCACATATATGCAATTAGAATTTTTTCTACATTCATCATATTCATTCATCATTCACTGTACTGTTTTGCGTTTTTCACGTACCCCACCACTTCTCAGTAATTTTTTCTCACGTAACTTTTCTCTGATATATTCTACATTATTTTTTGAATACATTTTGAGTATAATTTTTCTCAGACATTATCTTTCATTATCTTCCTCTATTACACACTTACGTTTCTTTCATCAAGATTTTCTCGTAATTTTTTAAGCTTAATTTTGTATATTCTTTCCCGCTCATTTTTTTTTTGCACATCTATGCAAAATTTAAAATTTTCCTTCCACGAAATTGCCCCTTTCCTTGGTTTTAATCAATATTGTGAACAACACATATCTATTTATGACTTTTTTTCCTGTTGACTCTAATATTTCCTAGCTAAATTAATTTAAGCCAATTCCTTATTAAATACATCACATTGTTGCACTTGTTTCCTTTTCCAAAATGGCAAGCAACCATTACGGCAATGTTAATTTGCGCTAGAAAATTTTCCCTCCATTTTTGACATTTCTCTCATCTAAATATAATTTTTACTTTTATATTGCAGTAAAAATACTAATAAAAGTTATTAATTATGTTTAATAATGATAGCAATAATAATTCAGTAATAATAAAAATATTGATAAGTGTAGTAGTTCCATGAAGCGCTACAAATGATTGCTGCATGCATTATAATTTAATAATAAATTTATGTATATCAGATCACTTTATTTCAAATTTAAATCTCTTCTTTTGATAAGCATATTTTTTATTCAATTTATTTGGTAAATTTTTGTTCAAAATAAATATTTCGCATAAAAGTAAGAAAATAAAAAAGCAATTTATGCGATATTTTTATTATCTCATCAGTTTAGTACTCATTATTTATTTGAGAAATTCAACAAAAAAGTGACTGTTTACGTAATTTAAACAAACTTTGTTCACGTATAAGTATACAAACATTTAATACTTTGTTTATATGTTTTGTAGAAGTCGTGGATTTCTTTGCTTCAAATAAAAAAAATTTCTATTAATCATGCAATAATGATATCATTTTTGTGTATTTTACTTAGTACTTCTGATAAGGAATTATCAATTCATGCATAAAATTTTGCGCACAATTATAGAATTACAAGTGTTCTGCTACGTTTTAGTTTGACAGTATTGCAGAAATGTGTACTTGATCTTAATCATTTAAGTTTTAAAAGTAATCATAAACAAAGTGTCGAATGTTTACATAGTAGAAATTTTTGCATTTTCGGCATTGACACTTTTGTAAAATCATCAAATTTGCTTCAATACTCGTAGCGGTAGTGAAAAGTTAGTGCTAGAAATATAAAGCTTTCCACGCCTAATCATAAATTTGTTATTAATACAGCTAGAAATATTAGTGCAGAGCCATAAAAGCAGTACTAAATAATTGTAATTGTAATTGTTGTGAATATATTATATAGGAGAGAACTGGTTTTCTTGTTGCTGTACACGAGACTACTATGTTATCCTATACAAAGTTGCTATTATTCCTAATAAATATTTCACAAGTTATGGTTTATATCCAGTTGTATTTATTTAATATTCAAATTTATTACTACAAGAAACTGTACGAAAAAAATATTCATATGACAAACGTTATGGGAATACTTTTGTATTTGTACTTAAGTCTCTCTTGTTTTTCTTCTTTTTACTCATTGTTTTTATAGCAAAAAATCTTATTTACTGTAATCAATCATATATATATTTCTTTTACGTTAAAATTGATGTACAGCTAAATTATTGATTCATTTTAAAAATTTCTGAAAATTAAAAATTATTAAAAAAATAATGCTTAATTGAAATTAATTAAAATTAAATTTGCATTTTACAGTATCTAATAAGTGAGCTTTATATTGAAATGTGATAATTTTCTGTAGTCAAGCATTTTCATAAAATGCACTGTCATTTTCGTCGTATAGTAACGTTTTGCAAAAGTTTAGTTTTCAGTTATAATTTTAAAATTTTAAAATTGTCCATGTTATTCTTGAATGTTCAATATCCAATAAATCAGAAAATGATTAGCTTAGAATGGACTGTGTTTAAGCTATTTTATTAACACTATCATTTGTCTAAGATAAGTACTTATTTTTATTTATTATCACTATTTTTATTACTGCCTATTTTGTATAGAATACAAAAAATCATTTTTATCGTTTGTGTGCTTTAATAATTTTTTTAATGTCAATTTTATGATAATATTAATAAAATGCCATTTTGATTTATTAATCACTGCTTTTTTGATTTCAATACACTGTACTCGATGTTTTTTTCACTTCAGTTTTTTGCTTGTTTATGTTTATAAAAATAACTTTGTATTATTTAAGCAATAGTTTTCTCTGTTTTCAATACTAATTTCAAAAAAATAAATACTTCCATTCAAAATTCAATAAATTGACATAGTATAAACTAAAATGTGTTCACGTTAATAAAGCAAAATCATTATATCATAACTATCACTAATTATGGTAACTGCTACTCTCACAGCAGTTGCTAGTCTATATTAATACTTTTATGATTATTGTTGTTACGGATAACATTGATTAGATTACTGATTATATAGATCAAGTAACTAAAAATATAAATCTTTTACAATATTTTAAGGTATTTTTAAATTTGTTGCTATTGTAAACATTTTTTATGTATTTCTGTTTATTCTGCGAAAATGACCATATTTCAATGACCTTTTACTGCCCTTTCAACAAATTTGACATCAGATAAAATTTCCTAGCAAGCGCCATTTTAGTATTAATATATAGTTCGTGTTGGCATTTGATATAGTGTATTTTCTTTTACAGTCCCTCCCTCCTGTATTTTTTTATTTACTGTATTATATCCTGACTGGCTTAGCATTTATAATATCCAATAGGAAGGAAAGACAATACATTTATAATATTGGTAAATATAAATATTAATTGAACTGTTTTCTGTGTAATTTACTATTTTTTATTTTCATTTTCAAGCCATGTTTATAAATTGATATTTACTTTAGATATTCTCATGTTTATAAAGTTAATGTCAATAATTGCCGTATTCAATCGATATTAAGAGTAATGAATGAATAAGTATAAACATTTATATGTATGATATTAGACGGATAAATAAATATGACAAATATCAGAAATTACTGTTAAATAATTTGTTGAAAGTCAAATTCTATCGGTTAATTGGTAGTTCAAAGTAAAATTTTATCAGTTTATTAGTAAGTAAACAATTGTAATATGTAGACAACATGATTGTTTATCACTTATTTAGTTTGTTTTATCATTCTTGAATTGATGTGATCAGTAATAATAGTCTGCAATAACTACGACCAGATACGATATGACTTAAATGAATTCGGAAGTATTGTGGCGTGTGCAAACAATTTTAAATCAAAATATCATTTTGGCTTAATGCAAACAACTTGTTATCGTACAATGAAGTATGCTTAGTGATCAACATGTGTTACTATTCTGTCTGTAACTGTTTAAAATTCGATTTTGGTATTATTCTCAGTTGAATTAATTTTTTTATTTGTCATAATTTTCAAAAATTATGATCTACATATAATTAATAATCTGATTTTTTATGCATAACTAATTTAATCTTCACTTAAAATTTACATAAGCTTTCTTTTGTATTACATGCACTGAATGAATGAAAAATAATTTCGCTTACGATAAGAAATGAAAATTAAACATTTTGGCTAATAGAAAATGAAAAATACTTTCATTGCTTTCGTTTTCTGAATTGTATTAACAATTTTAAAAATTTATTTAAATAATTTTTTTAATCGACAATAAATAATCTGCATTTTCATTTATTTAAGACTAAAAATACAAAAATAAAATTAGCAAAGGAAACTTTTAATTCAAATTATTTGGTCTCATTTCAATTATTTTGTATTTTCCACCTGGCTGCTTATGCACTTGAATTTCACATAATTTAAATTTACAAAAATAGTTTTTGATCAACAAAAAAACTTTTTATTGAAAATCTATTTGATGCTTTCTCTACTGTAAATTTTTTGTGAATATAAAATTACTAATCGCAGTAATAATAATCATCATTTTTACTGTGTTTAATGATTATTTCTACTTCAGTCATTTAATTTTATTTTGTAGAAAGTCATTGAGTATTTTATGATGCAATGGTTGGGTATCATTTAATAACTGCATGTTTAGCTGTTTTCAATTATTTGTATCAAATTGTGAGTGCTATTTATCAAAAACTTCTTCATTACTCATACTTGTAATGAAGAAGTTTTACTTAAATTTATCAGTTTTACTTAAATTTATCACTATTTTTGCCTAATTTAATTACTATTGTTAGAGTGACTTTTATTTTACTTTAGTGACATTTTGGCTAATTTGCGTAAGTATTTTGAACATATCACAAGTACTAATATTGATTTGATAGCAAGAATTTTTAAAATGAATAAATATAACTAATAGAATAATCACAGAATATGGTTTGAAAATATTTGACTTTAAAATAATTTCATTAAATTAATATTATGCAAAATAATGTTTAAGAAAAAATAGTCTGAAAAATTTTTTACAAATTTATACAAATAAGCCTTCGAATAAACAGAGCAAGCAATGAATTAATTTGAATAGCAAATGCAGGAAAGTGTTTGTTCACGTAAAAAATTGTTTTTTCATATATTTTTTTTTTGCTTTTTCTATTTTTCGATATATTTTTTGGAGTTTTAGCATTTTCTTCATGACTTGCATATTCTGTAAGTACACTGAGTTATTTGTAAAATGAAAGGAATATTTTTTAGCATTTTTTAATAGGCAAAAAGAAATTGGCGTTGATTTTAACCTTTTGCAATATTAATATTTTTTATTTAACAAATATAGTCTGTTGTATATGCAAATAAATTGTAGCGTAGTTATTGTCTTATCGTTTTCAGTATGCAAATGTATTCGATTTAATTTTGAAAGAAATAGTAGTAACTTTATTGTAATTTAAATTATTTCTATTAACTATTAAAATTATTATTTTGTATATTAGATCGCTACGCGTGTTTCATACAGTTCATTTATACTTCGTGTTAGCATTAATGTGATCCAAAATTACATATCCTTTATATTCTAAAAATTTTATTCAATAGTTGTAATACTTAACATTAGCTATAGCTAATGCATCTGTGACTCACTGAAAAACCCATTGGGTAAAATTCAATACTAAAAGCTTTATTTTTGTAATCATTGTAATCATAAAGAATTATCTCACGTCCGTATTTTACGTATGTTTTGTTTATTCGAAGTTGCAGTTTAAATTTTGATTTTTTCTTAGTAAAAAATTAAAATTAAGATAAGTATTAATTTTTGTGCAATTGCATTTCAATTTCAAACTTTCACAGTTTTGTTCTATTTTCTTGTATTCCAAATTATGATTCATTATTTTGACTATTCATCGCTCTCTTCATCTTACATACTTGTGTATGTTCATACTTTTTTAATAAAACTTGTTAGTAGTAATTTAGCAGAAATGAATATAATAAATTTTAGCATTGAAACTTTTTCATTTATTTTGTTATATGCGTAGATTTTCAGCTCATTTTGATTACTTTTGCATTACACAAATGCACAAATAAATAATAAATAACTTATAACTAATACATATTCTAATTATAATAATAACAGTAATACAATATAATAATATTTGGCATTATGATATTTGTTAAATTCTATATTTTGTGTATTTTATTTAATATTTTAATTTAAAGAAATAATCAAAAATTAGATTAAACCTTAAATGAGTGACAATTATTGCATCATAAACGATAATACCATAATAATTGATGTTTGTGGTAAATAATAAAAATAACGTACATGAGTACCCACAGCAATATTTGCATAATTAATGAGAGAACACCGCAAATAGTGTCTGATATTACTCGCATATTATTGTATGATATTAGTTACTGTTACACTACATTAACACTATGAATGATGATCTTTGTTATGATCATAAAACTTTAGTGAAAAAATTTCTTAGAAATTATATAAAATTTAAGAATCTGTTTTTCGTGAATTTCGTTCAGCAAATCATTCGTAAAAATGATAGGTCGAAGTTATTCATTATGTTTGAATGGATTAAAACTTGAAGGAACTTGATTAGTTTCTCGTTCTCGACCTGTTATTCTTGATTTTTAACCAGTTCTTATCTTCTTTTTTTCGCATAAATAAGCATTGGTATTAGTAAAGGATAAGTGAACGATAAAAGTAATGAAAGTAATAAAAAAATTTTAAGTTCAATCTAAAAATTAATTATTAAAAATGGATAAACGAGCAGTCAATAGCTGTGTCACTATTTAGTTTGTAAATTTAGTGAAATACAAAAAAGAAAAAATTTTTTTAATTTTCATTTTTTAGTGCGTAATGTATTTTGCATTTTGTGTTATTTGTTAAACTGTTTTTCATTATACATTTTTGTTTTAAATGCTATAAATTATTTCTGATGTATTTGATCTGTATAAATTTTTGCAGTGAAATGATATAGTATAAGAGGACTATTGTTAATAAGCATATGAAAGCTTTTACAGATTATTTCAATTTTTTAATTAAAATAAATCACACAGTGAAAATTTTTTTAAAATGAAAGTGAGTAGCAGTGTATGAAATAAATAAAAATTTACGCCTAATATTCAAAGCAAATGGAAAAGCAATACTTTTTTAATATCATAAATGAAATAAATAAGCAAGAAATGCTTTTCGAATTTTAATTTCAAGTGCTAACATAAATTTTTGCTTATAGAAATTTTCCATCGCAAAATATTGCTTCTAAATTGTATTATTTTTTGTTAAACTTTTAATTTTTGATTTTGTTATTTTATTTTTAAACATTGAAAAAAATTTGAAACAAATGTCATCAAATTGTACCAAAAATTTGCCCTTTTCTTTTTTACATTCAGACTTTTCATCGGCTTTTTGAATCACCTTTTATCAATAATTTTGATTTGTTACTGTTATTAAAAAATAGTGTTTTATACAAGTTTTTGTTTTATTTCTCGATTTTAATTCGTTATTCTTACTACTCTATTAATATTATGTGATCAAACTTTGACCTCATTATGTGTCTAACAGGTAAAAAAAATCAAGCAAATTTTAAAAAAATCACCATGTTACGTTTATTATCAATTGGATTTTTATCAGCAGTCCTCCGCTAATTTTAACGTCATACTGATTATTGTAACTAATATTTCACTATTATTATTGTTATTATTGCTATTATTAATCTTACTGAATCCCTTTAAACACTTATCGTCATTTGATTGAATTTCTGAATGCAAATTTAATCTGTAAATAATGGCAGCACGTTCAACATACCTTTGCGCAATACAGGTTATTTTTTTGGATGTAATGGTTGTTATCATTTTTAATTTATTGTTCCAACTTTATTCAAGACACTTATTCCCTCAAGCATCTTATATGATTAACATATTTTGCTTATTACGATTGAAATGTAAAAACTTAATATATTTAAAATGAATTTAAACTTCATTACTTCTTAGTTTTAACCTCTTATTTCTGTTCATCTTATTAAATTTCGATATATTCTTTTGGATATAATCGTTGTCATTTTTTGTAGATTTTGAAGCTTAAAAGTATACTAAAATTGAAAAAACTTTGCATCTAAAAGAAGTAAAAATAAGCGTTTTCAAACCCGTTACTATATTTTTACAGAAATGTGAAAATATACAAAAAACGGCGTTGTGTACTGAATAAGTTTATTTTATATGGCACTAAAATACATGAATAGTATTTTGTTTACAATAACTGAAGCGTATTAAAAAATTCTTAATATTTATTTTAGATTTTTACTTAGTTATATCAATGATTACTCTTGGATTTGATTTGCAAAATTTGACATCACATAATCACATAATTAGTATAAAGTTTTGAATTGCAGGATTTTAAATGAAGCCTCATCGGTAGTTTACAATAAAAACTAAGCCATTATGCAAAAAAATACAACAAAACTTTGTCCTTGAAAATTAAATTCATCTTACTAAAACTTCAAAAATTACTTCAGTACTTTTCAGACTTGCAATGTAATTTTGATTATAATCGGTCTTGTGGCTGTTGGCCTTGCTGGTAGTCAATTTTTTAACCTTTCACTTGGGCATTACAGGTACTTATTGTTGGAATTTTTTATCAATGAACATGCAATGTAATTTTGATTATAATCTACCTACAAATCTGAAATGTTATTTGATTTCATACTTTTTAGTGCAAAGTTATTTTCAAGTCTTGAAATTTTGACATTGTCATTTATTAGTTTTTGAGAGTAAAAAATGCATTTTTAAAATAGTACCAATAATAATTATACAAGGATCTGATCGTATTTCAGGATGATTGACTTAAGACTATTGAACTGGATATATATTCTGGCAGGTTTAATAGGCCTATATACCTTATCACGTAATCATGGTACTGTTGTAGCCAAGGCATTACATTGTGTTTCAATCGTTGTAGCCATGTATACTGCAGCATTTTATTGTATCACGCTTTTCAGAGTAATCAAATACATTTTATTACAAATAAAATACTAAAATTACAGTTGATTTGCTACAATAAAAATATTCAATATCTCAATAATTCTTCGCACTATTTTTTAATATAAAATAAGTAGTGGCATATTTTTGCACTTCATTTAGCATCTTTCTTATAATCTAGGAAATTACTGCATAATGTTGAAAAAACATATTCTCTCATGTAGTATTTGCACATAAATATTAAATAGTATCACAGGTTATTACACTATAGCTTGAATTCAAAGTTAGCTGAACGTAATTCCTAGCAGCTATTTTGCAGATCATCCGCATTCATGATATATTGATAACACATAATTTTCCTGAGCACGTGGATCTTCAATATGCTGCTGAATTAAATTTCATAGCGAAGAATTACGAAGCTAAACTGGTTATCTGTTCACTAATGATCGCTTTACCTGCTCTGGCTTGCTTAGCTGCAGTAATAGCTGCGGTACTTATAGATCGGGTTGTAGTGGTCACACAGCCTACATGGCCACAGTATTCGGTAACTTTTTGAATTAATAATTTGCCCAATAACTAAAGATTTGATGAGTAAAAGAAGGAAAATTATCAGAATAATCTGAATAGAAAGAAGAATAACACTAAAAAGTGTTTACTGAATAAGTTATTATCTCTGAAAATTTTTCCACAGGTTTGTTTTCGTGAACCCTTCACCTTCAGTACTTCAGCACACTTATAATCTTCTTTAATAGTTCATTTGAAGGCCAAGTATTAAGTTTTAGTTCAAACTGGAATGTAAATTGATGAAAAGTTTAAAATTTAACTTAATTGACTATACACTATAACATTTATTCTGTAATTATTTTTAATAAGTTTTGTATTAATATGCAAATTAGAAGTAATAATGAATTGCATTTGAAGCGATCACAGAATAAGAAGTATCGCTTAAACCGTATTGGTTTAGCAATATCAGCTGCTACAAAACTGCTTCTAGCTTTGTTTGCTTTGGCATTGACAATTTTTCTTCAATACGAACATCAATTAGTAAGTTTATGCTAATTAATTAACAGTTATTCTGTGCTAGTGGACAAGTATGGAAATGATTAAGTAATAGCTTTGTATTTAAAAGTTTATACTATTCATTATTAAGCTTTGTTTTATAAATAAAATTCTTTCAAGTCATATTTTGGTTATTAATTTGAAAAATGAAATGTTATTAGATATCAAATACTGATCCATTTGTAATGGCTCGTCTCGATCATTTTGCTGCATTATTAGTAATTGTAAGCGCTGTTATTGATATGCACTCATCTATTATTAATCGACAAAGTGCTGCTAATTATAAAGTAATTTAATTTATTTCAAACTGCACTTAAAAATTTTTATTAAACTGAATTTTATTGAAATTACAAAAATGATTAACACTGTTAAACTTCATTACATTATTATTGTTATTGTTGTTTTCAACATAATTATTTAATTTTATACTTTGAATTTAGATGAATTTAATAAGGAATTACAGGTTGCTATAGGAATAGCTATCGTTGCAGCTGTTTGGTGCCTCAAAACATTGGATATTGGAATGTATCCTTTTTATTATAAAGATATCCAAAATTGGAGAGGATTTCCTTTATTTTCATCGAATGCTTCTCTCAGTGAATCTTTTCGTCTGTTTTTTAGCACATTTATTCTGTTTCCTTTCACTCATTTTTATAAGACTGTCTTTTTGAATTGTGAAAAAGTTTAAAAATTCATTTTCGTTTTTTCTCAGAAATTTGAACATTTTTGTTTTAGTATACATTCGATTACTTTAAAGGATTGGTTAAGGCGATGGAAGTTTTTTTGGTCATTTAAGTTTGAATATCTACCAATTAATAGTCATAAATTATAACTTTAGCACTGAATGATCGAACAGAACATCCAATATATTTGGTTATTATTTCTGAAGGTATCTTAATTGGCATTTTTGCTCTACTTTTTGGCCTCAATGTGGTTTCTGCTGTTCAAGCTAGCAAATGTACTCTGAATGAATTTAATAACGAAGACACTACTATTGTCAAGAGTATTGCCGTAGAAAGCAGGTAATTTTAATGTAATTATCTATCAAAATTGTATTATTCAAAAATTGGCATGTATATTTTTTATTCATTCCATTTAAAAATCTATTTCATTTTTTAACTTCATGAATCTATCAAGTAATCAATTACAATACGTACTATTATTGATACTATCTCAGTGATGGTATTAGTAATATTATTTATTATATTTTAATTGGTAATACTTAAGCTAAATCATATGCAGCTGCTAAAATAATTATTCTAAACTTTGGAGAGTTTTTATTTTTGTAAGCAGTATTTCAGATGCTTGGGATTTTTACACTTCATATGGGGAATTTTCTTGATGGGACTTGTATTACTTGGTTTAATAGATGTTCCTTGGAATGCAAATTATATCGGGGCTGACCTGATTTGGCTTGCAGTATTGCTTTTTGTCACTGGCTTGTTATATTTTGCCTATTCCAGGTAAGTAACTCTATCACTTTATAGTTCATTTATTCAATCTTTTGTAATATAGTAATAATTATTTGCACTAGTCGATAGACTGTTTTTTTTCTTTGTGCATTTTCAATTTGTATTTCAAAATTTAATGCTTAGTATTTTTGATTATTAATTAAAATTTTGCCATTTTCTTATTGATATATATCATCATTTTAATTATTATTATTGTTTTTACTAAAATTTCAATCTATTTATTGTTGCTATAAATTGATTTACTTATTTATATTTAGCTCAAATTTGACGGCGCAATTTGTTCTTGCTTTTGTATGTTTCACTTGTGGATTGGAAAAGATGTGCGCAACTATTAATCTTGTTTACCAGTCAGCTACTTATCCCAGTTTTACACGTAGTCCCGAAGAAGTATTTCTTGGCCGATTAGTGTTGCATTCTGTACAACTTTTGGTTAGTTTTTTTGTCAAAAGTTACTTGAAAATGATATTATTAAAAGTATTGTTCTTTTAATATATAATGAGATAGTATCAATAATAGTAGATTCAAAAAATATAACAACATGATCATGATGATGGCGATGGAATGTACTTTTTAACTTAACTTGCATTATTTTAAAAATGATTATTAAATATGATTATTCAGATAGCACCTAAAAATAAATTTCAAAATATATATCGCGTAATCGTGATTTTTTGAATAAAATAACCATTTCTTAAAATTAGGACAAATTTTTTATTTTTTTTAACTTGCATTATTTGTTCGATAACGCGCAATATAATATCAAAATTACTAATCAAAATATTTTGAAACTTATTTTATATCATTTTTAAGTGCTATCTGAATAATCATATTTACAATCATAGCATTTGCATATGAAACAATATTCACTGCAAAATTTTCAGTCTATTGTTCAATATTTGAATTATTCTGTGATTGAACGATATTGACTGATTTAAATTTTGAACAGTAATTACTGTGTTATGACAAAATGGCACCAATAAACTTATATTTCAGATTTTGTTCTTTCTTACTTTAACGGCTTTATTTTCAATCATTGTTTGCGGTGGTGCGTTGAAATATCGGTATCGTCATGCGCCTAAGCATTCTCTATGTTTGCATTTTCAGATAATAATTTTTGTCACAATATAACTATTTTTTGTACCGATATATCAGCTTAATGATTTAGAAGATCAATGGTTTTATATCGCTATAGCTACTAATCTCTTTTTAACATAATTGTTATTGTTACTAATATTAGCAAACAGGCACTAAAAATCATTTCAGTAACTTCAATTTTCCAAAGTCTATACACAAAATTTTGCTTCTATAAAATCTTCTAAAAATCAGTTTTTTGATGATTAGTTATACGTACTATATTTGCTCTTAAAACTTTTTTGCAGAAGAAAGAATTTAGAAATAAAATTGTAAACAAATTATCACTTAAAGATGCAAAAAACTGGGAGCTTTCTCTGAAAAAAATTAGAAACTTTCAGCTATGAGATTCAGATGTATTTCTGAATGCACAAAAATATACATGAATCCTTTCAAAAATGGGCTGAAGTTATAGTTTTATTCTGATTTCAATCGTTGCATTTACAATTTTAAACTGTCAATATGATTTTTGTCTATGTCACATATATGATAGTAGTAATATAGCGGTACTTTATAGGTATTCATATGGTATTACTTTTGGGAAATATGTTTTACGGTATAATTCTTGTCGGTTGCCACGTAGTATTTGCCCTCGGTTACTGGCGTTTTTCTGAATCACCTCTAGAAATTCCATACTTTCGTATGGGTAATGGCCTTTTAGTGTTTGGCATTTCCATTCTCCAGGTGTGCCTTTTCTTCTTTATTTTTAATAAAAAAATGCAAAACCAAACAAATTAAAACAAAGTCAAGAAAATCGCTACTGTTTATCTTTTTTCCACATTCATAAAATACTTTCAGCATGATCATAAATAAGTTTTTAGGCAATATCGATGTGTATTCCAGCACTGTTGCTACCAGTTACAGTACTCAATGTAACTGCTGCATCAGTCGCTTTGTTTATGATCAGTTACTCAATGTCAAATACTTATTTTCTGGTATTCGGCTTTAATTTATATCTTTTATGATGAAGTATACTGATATTATAGGCTTTGATAATTTTAGCTTAAAATAAATAACAATATCAGCAAAATTCGATATTTTTTCAACTTTTAGGCAGCGTTGTTGTCAACAGTTGAAGGTATTCGTTGGATAATCATTGAAGTTGCTTTAATTTTAACAGCATCTGCAACACTTGCATGCGTTATTTGCACATTTTGTGCCACATTTGCGATTGTTAGGTTTGATCACTCATTCTATCTTGATTGGATAAGATATGATATCAGTCCTTGATCTGATCTCAGAAAAGTTTCATAAAAGTATTGGAAAAAATTGAAAAATTGATTCTGTTCTGCAATATTTGCTACTTTTACATCACTAATTTGAATAATAATTAAAGATTGATGTGGCAGTAAAATATGTAGCATTTGCTATTTGATTTTAGTATGATACTGTACTTAAAACACGAAAAAATTCCGTAAAAATTTTTATAACTAAACTTTTTTCAAGCTATTTCTTCTTTTTTATCCCAGAGAAAACTCGTAAAAAGCAGTGACAAGTTATAAAAATTGCATATTCAATCACGATAAGTTGCATTTTATGTATGTCTCACGTTGTAGGCAAAAAATACTCTCAGGATTGTTTGTAAAATACTGGCTCTAGAATTATTATGGTTCTAGAATTATTGTATCTCAGGATTATTAAAGTACTAGAATATATAGGTTCTGATGGATATATTTCAGCTTTTTATACGCGTTGAACAGGAATTCTACAAGAAGTATTTCAACCATCGTACCGTACGAAGAGAATAATTACGGTACTTTGCGAACATTAGTTACTCCACAATTACAGGTTTTTGAAAGTTTGATACTTCGTAAACCTTTTAACTCTCCTTTAGGTTATCATCGATTTATATGCATATTTCCAATATAAGTACTTAAATAGTATTAAACTAGTATAAAAATATTTAATTTTCGTTTAAATAAGTTAAACAAATTTTATAATCGAGAAAAAGGCAACATATGTGCAAATTTTATAAGTTAAGAGTATCATACGTAGATAAATAATAAAAATTTTTTAATCGTCTATTTGTATTACATAATGAGAGTCAATAATATTTGTTTCAGTCAAAAATTTGTATTTATTGACATTTTAAATTCATTATCAAAATGTGAATTTCGATAAAAGTGATTATTATTTACTGATTTACTTTATCTAATGGTTTTTGCTTTTAATACATTTGATTTAGTGAATATTTTAACGTTGAATATCAGTATAATAGCTGGAGGAAATTAAAATATGTAAATTAAGACTAAAATTTAGACACCACCAATGCGGCATATGGAGGAGCAGTCAATTTATTGGTCAACAGATGAAAATCCTTATTATTATCAAACATCAAAACGTTACTATGATCAGCCATATAAAATAGATTCAGGGTATATGTTCTAAGCTTTCCTCTTATCTTATCAAGATTAAGTTCATTTTTGGATTCTCAAAAGCTGGTAGTAAATTGACAATTAGTTCTTTCATTTATTCAATTTTTTTTAATATTTTTCTTAAACCCAAATATTTTATAAAAATTGTATTTTTAAAACAGCAATTAAGGCTAAACAGTTTTTTTTTATTCTAGATAGATTAACAGAGTTTTAATTAAATACATTTATACTTATTAAATAATATATAAAAGTAATTATTTACTCTTTCTTGGCTTGTGAAAGGTTATTTTCTTTCACATTTTTTTTCGAGTTATCTGAAAAATAAGAAAGTTACTTTCAGTTAATCTTTAAAATGACAAAGAAATTGAACAGTAGTACTGTTATTAGCGGAAATAGCAACAGTGATAAAAATTTAAGGAAATATAAAAAATTTTAAGACGGTTTTTTTCAAATAAACTGTTCTATATTAATTCATATTCTTATAATTTATATGCAACTTAAGCTTTTATGGATATGCACTGGTCAGTCCTCAAATGCTAGAATCACCTTATGCCATAATGGGTAATATAAACGATAGAGGTGATGTTAATGGACCGTACTATCGTAATATGATTTCCTCAGCAGCCCAAACAAAAATTGGACATATTTTTAATTAAATGGTATTTGGATGAATGAAATTTCAGCTCAATATATGAAAACCAAACAGAGAATGCAATTCGCTCATTACAATTTTGACACTTCCAACTATTTTAATCACAATCATTGTATCCAGAAATATATCTGAACTGTATTATTATCACATTTTAACTATTTAGTATCAAATTTTAGAATTCATGAAATATTCTATTTATAAGTTTAATAACGATGTTTATAAAATTAGAGATAATAATACAAATCAGATATATTACTGAACCATAAAGTATTGTATTACGAATTCAGTAATGACTGATTCAAGCCATATTAAGTAATATTGGCAAAAAACTGCAACATTTAATTACTGAACCATTAAATATTGCAATATTTTTTAATGAAGAATGAAATTAAAATTATTATTATCATTACTGCAGTTAATTCCTATGGATTTGCCCTCCACAGTTTATTGTATTTTTCTAGCTTTAATTTGTATAGAACTCTGTATGCAATACTCACAAAATTTGCTTTAAATGCTCAATGTATTACAGAAGTTTTTTATGTTATTTTGTTCTTTTTGTTATCAGAAAGTAATCATCCAGACAGAATGGGATTTAATTTGCAGTGCTATTTTTTAATCAAATGTTATACTTACGTCAATTGTGCCTTTGAGTTATTGGAATAAGTCAGCGATTTGATTTTATTTTCTTAAACAGAGACTGTAATAGCAATTCTATGACCTTACCAGTCAAGTATCTGTGATTAGTTTAAATTGTTTTAGAACAAAATATCTCATAAATGATTTGATTGTTAGTCTATCGTTAGTTCTAAAAGTTCATAGAAGAATTCAAAAGATTTGTTGGTAATCAAATTTGTTTTATTAATTGTAAGAGCTCACTTGTAACGATTATCAAAACAGCATCGATATAATCTATGCTCTAAAGCTTAACTATCTGGAGCTTTTTTTATAATAATTCTTAATGAATAATGAAACTTTGAATGTAAAAAATTTTTGAATTTATTGGAGTGAAATTGAATTTAAATCTAGTTTCAAGTTACTAGCACAAAAAGCCTTTTATGATTTGAATTTGTATAATTTTTGATTAAAATATTTGTTAAATATTCTATTTTAAATATTGGAATCAGACAGTTCTGAACTGCGTTCAGTAAATTCCAAATTTATAGCTTTTGTCTTATTTTGGTTTTGACAATAATTACTGACAGCAACATACATATTCTTAATAACCGGTTTTTAATTAAAATATCGAAAAAATACTTTTTTCTGCTTACTTTATTCTTTACTTTTGGCACTGTTTCACATAATCAAATCATAAAGTAACTACCGCTGACTTTAGCTTTTTTTACTTTTGAGCTCATTCATCGTTTATACAAAAGCTTGAACTATAATTGATCCCAAGAAATAATCAAGCAAACCGATTTATACTGATTTAAATTTGTTGGTATGTTAATTTTTCAAGAAAGTTAAAATGTTTTCGTCAAAATGGAATAATAATGAAAAAACTGATCGTGCTGGATATGAATTTTAACCGTATGATGTTGCATATGCAGAAAAGTGCTGTAAAGAACCATAGTAACAGTACTTTTCGTAGATTGATACCAAAAAAGGCGATTATCATCTCAATCCTTCAAATCCACATGGCACTTCAGAAATATAATGATATATATACAATATAACTAGCATTATTACTAAAAACAGAACTTAGTGATCTGCAACATAAATAATTGGAACACCAGGGGCAACTTACAATTTGTTTTTAAATTACATTGATCTCTTGTAATCACTATTAGCACATTCCGGTCATTTATAACGGCAAAATTTACCAAAGTTACTTACAAGAAAATGTGTAGCTAATATAATTCCACTTCTTTTATAATTTGCATAAAACTAATCAATATCACTGGCAATAAAATCTGCGCAGATACATAACATTTCATGTACTACCTTGACAAGGTAGAACATACGAGGACGTATATCAAAACTTTATTAGTATGATGCAGGTGGTTCCTCTCCTATATTACAAAAGTATTTACAATCTTTGCATATCTCCTTCTATAAAGTAAAATACATACCCATGTAGATCAAAACTTGCTAATATGGCGTAGAAAATCTTTGTGTTACAAAAATATGTACGATCTTTGCATATCTCCTTGTAGATAGTACAAATATACACGCATCTAAATCAAAGCCTTAATATGATGCGAAAAATTCCGTTGCAAAAGAATGCGTGAGAAACATCTTTCAGACTGTGACCCCATTCTTTATAGCAGTATTATCACAATCAAGAACAGGGTGACAGCCTGGTCCATACCCAACGTGACAGCAACACTTCCCTTCCCTACCTTCTGTTTCTCCAACTTTATTAGTTAGTGTTTTTGGAACGTATTATATATTATAGTTTCGGAAATGATTATTGTTTGGGAGAAATTAATAGTAATTTGATGAATTGTTTGGTACTCTAGATTGAGTAATTCGTAGTAAGGATGTACGGTATTTAAAAATTGAGCAAAAAAATTTATTAAAATCTAAAACGTAAGAGTAAAGTTGGAGATTTGACTAAATAGTGATTCGTTTTTTATAAAATTATGTATACGTTATGATTGACTAACTGTTCGAAGCAGGATTGATTATCTTAGGATCGGAATTGATAAGCCAATTAGAAAATAAATTATTAGTGCGCTAGAAGTCTTGATCTTGGAAGATAAGCTTACAATAAATATTTGTGTCCGGCTGGGCTAAATTTATACACATCTTACCTAAGCTTATCTTCCAAGATTTCTCATCTTTGCAATTCAGTGATTATTGAAATCAATCTAGCGATTGCGGCATAATTAAATTATTGAGTAAAGGAGTCGTTGGGCTGATACGCCAGCTCCTTAATTAACCTCTGCCGATCTTTTTTGATTAATTAAATAATCATTGAATTGATTGTGATTAATTGAAATCATAATATTATTGAAAATGAATCGAGAATAGGAGTCATTGGGCGGCCATGCCAGCTCCTAATTTATAAGATCGCAGCGCGGTACTTCTTAATTTAGTAGCCAAGAATGAGTGCTACTTGTATTAGGGCGATTTTGTGCCATAATTTAATTAGGTTTTATAGGATTTTCGAGATCGAGGCTTTACTGACGTTTCGGATTTTTTATTGGGAATTCTAATCCACTGATTGTGTTGTGTAGGTATAATTATTTAATTGTTCATTTTATGTGTGGCTATTGAATGCAATATTTTCAGCAATGAAAATAATATTCCAAAAATTTAAGAAAATGAAATATGAAAATGTGCGACAAAGTATAAAAGCGAGAAAAAAAATAGAAAGAAAAACGAAAAAATAAAAAAATATGAACTGGCAAGTGTTGTGCTCCGTGTGTATTTTAAAATCTGTCAAGTATACAATTAGTTCCATATGAATATTTCTTAATATCGTAAAAAGAATACTGCGTAGTTAAAGAGAATAGCTCCGTGTTGTACTGTAACAATTAACTTTTAAAGTTTCTTCCAAGTATCTAAGAGATCACCAAAAGCATGGAATTTTTAGTAGTTTAAAAAAGAAGTGATGTAGACGTAAAGTAAGATACTTGGAAGTTACGGTAATTATTGCTAACTTTGTAC